CCCAGCTGAGCTTGCCCAGCACGGTACCCGAAATAGCAGCTGCCCCTGCTGGGTGCCTGTCAGGTACCAGGGAGGCGTGGCTCCCGACTGACCCGTGGGCAGCAAGGCCCCGCGGAGCCCAGGGGTTCCAGAGCTTGCATCGGAGCAGCGAGGCCTGGGCTCGAGGCCAGGCGTCCGCGCTGCACCTCCCAAGAGCCGTCTGCCCTCCCCCACCCCGTGGCCCTCTGGCGTCCACCTGTTTGCACTGGTCTTTTGTCTTCCTGCCAGTTCTGTAGCAGCCTCGGTCGGAGGAGCGTGGCCGCCTGGCAGAGTGGACAGGGCAGTGGGCTGTGCCTCGGGGCACCTGGGTTCTCCCCTGGGCCTGCTGGTAACTGTGGCTTTGAACTCTCGTCTTCCACTCTGGACTCGGACACAGCTGGGACTTTCCCATCTCCAAGGACTCCCAGCTTCACCTTCTCTGGTGATGGCGGCAGGGGAAGGTGGGGGTGTTTCAGTTTCCCAGGGGCTGATGTTTCAGCTCTTAACAGAACACAACCCACCATCTCACCAAAAAAAGCCTCTTTCCAACTCCCATCCCAAAATAAAGACAGTAGGTAAACAAGCCACAGCAGCCTTTCTGGGGAGCCAGAAATAGCCTCCCGGGCTCCCAGGCTGCCTGTAGAAGCTCGGGCCTGTCTCTGTTTGGGGCAGGAGCTGCTGGCGATGTTGCGAGTTTCCCATGGTTGAGCTGGAGGAACCTCCACGCCACCGTGTGTCACGTGGGACGGGCCGGCTTGTCTCCTGCCACCGAGTCGCTGGCTGCGCTGCGCAGGGCCTGGGTCCTTCACCAGCCCTCCACTCGCCAGGCGCCCTGCCACAAGCTAGACTGACCACAAGCCCAGCCCGTGCCTCCAGACAGCAGCACGTCGGTCCCCTGGGCCTTTCGCCAGGCTGTCCGCCTGCTGGGGTGCGCCTGCCCCCGTGTGTCTGCTCAGTGAGGTGCGGCCCGGTCACTTCCCCTGGTGCCCCTGGCACTTGCTGTCCCTGCTGTGTGTCCTGCCAGCGCTGCCTCGTCTCCCTTCACCTGTCAGTCCATCAGCCTGGTGCACTGTCCGGTCCCTCCCGGGACTGTGAGCTCCTCGAGGGCGGCACCTGTGCCCCTTTGTCCTTCGTGTCTTAGCTCCTAAGATGTAGCGAAGTCCCAACACCTTTTTTGTTGTTGTTGAGCAGTTGTTGAAACCAAAACAGGAGCTGTAGTCATTTCTGGTTGTGATTTCATGGATAGGTCAGGGTTGTTTGGGCTGCAGGCCGCCAGAAAGTGGCTCAAGCAGTAAACATGTCATGGTCTGCTCTAACGGACTCCAGAGAGGGGCAGGCCCGGCGAGGTCACAGATCCCTTCCAGCCTCTGCCCTGGACGCAGGATGCCTTCGCCCAAGGCTGGGTGTGGGCTGTCTCAGGCCATCCCTGGGGCAGGAGAGGGTGCGTAGCCAGCGGGCCTGGTCCTCAGGGTGTGGCCGGCAGGCTCCAACTTAGGACAGAGGAAGACAGTGACACTGCACGTGCCCCTCTTTCTTGGCGCAGTCCGTCCTTTGCCACCATGCTGGGTCCTGCCACCACCCAGGCTGCTGCCTCACACAGCAGAGCCTAAGGTTTCGGAAGGGTGGAGGTGTCCGACCTAATGCTGGATGCGGCCCACTTATGGGCTGTGTCTTGTCTCTGCATTTCATCTGGACCCCCGAGCATTTCTAGGGGAGCGCGCCCCCGTCCTTCTCCAACGTCACCCTGGATCTGGCAAGGGGCGGGGCGGGACTCTGGTTTGCTGCAGGATTAAGGAGACACTTCATGGGAAGCATTTACATTGTCCGGTGACCCATGGAGGGCCCCCTCTTTTTTATTGATATAATTCCTACACCATAAAATTCACCTTTTGAAAGTATGCATACAGTTCGTTCATTTTGACTGTATTCACAAAGTGCAACAGCCATCACCGTCTAATTTTGAACATCATCACTCCAAAAAGAAATGTCCCCATCAGCAGTCATTCCCCCGTCCCCCGACTGCCCCAGTCCCTGGCAACTGCCCGCACCCTTTCTGTCTCTATGATTGGCCTATTCTGGACATTTCAGGTCACTGAATCACATCATACGTGGCTTTTGTGAGTGGCTTCCTTCACGTAGCGTCATGTTTTCAAGGTTCAACTATGTGGTTGCCTGGGTCAGGACTTCATCCCTGTGTGTGGCCGAATAGCACCCCTGTGCGGATAGACCATGTTCTGCTTGTCCATTCATCAGTCGATAGACATTCGGGTTGTTGCTACTTTTTGACTGTTGTGAGAACGTTAGTACGATTCCCATTCTCAGTTATATATCTAGCATGGAATTGCTGGCTCATTCGTAACTGCGTTTACTTGAGGAACTGTCAGACTGTTTTCCAAAGCAGCTGCACCGTTCTGCATTCCCACCGGCAATATCAACATGTGTTATTTATTGTCCGTCTTTTTGACGATAGCCATCCTGGTAGGTGTGAAGTTATATCTCATTGTGGTTTTGGTGTGCATCTCCCTGATGGCTAATGATTCTGAGAATCTTTTCATGTGCTTTTGTTGTTGTTGTTAATCCTCACCAAAGGATATTTTTCCACTGACTTTTTTTTGTTTTTATTAGATAGTGGAAGAGAGGGAAGGAGGGGGAAAGAGAAAGAGGGAGGGAGATTGATTGCTTGTCTCCAGTTGGAGCCAGGGATTGAACCTGCAACCCAGGTATGTACCCTTGATTGGAAATCGAACATGCAACCCTTTGGTCCACGGGCCAACACTCCAACTGCTGAGCCAAACCGGCCAGGACTCATGTGCCTTTTTTGGCCTTTCCTGTGTGTCTTATTTTGAGAACTGTCTATTCAAATTCATTGCCCACTTTAAATTTGGGTTGTCTCTCTGATTTATTAATAGTTCTTATATATTTTGGATACTAGACCCTTATCAGATTAGTGATTTGCAAACATTTCCCGCCATTCTGTTGGTTGTCTTTTCATTTTCTTGATAGTGTTTTGAAGCACAAAAGTTTTTATTTTTAATGATGTCAAATTTATCTATTTTTACTTTGGTTGCTTGTGCTTTTAGTGTCTCAGAAACCATTGCCTAGTAGAAGATCATGAAGATTTATGCCTGCATCTTCCTTGGAGAGTTTTAACGTTTGAGATTTTATATTAGGTCATGATCCCTTCTGAATCAATTTCTGTATATGGTGTGAGGGGGGCCCTGCCAGGCCAGGTGGGGCCTGTCCGAAGCCTGCCCTGCAGCGTCCTCCTCTGCAGGCCCAGAGGCACGTCAGGGCTGGGCTGCAGGTGTGCCCAGCAGCTCCCTCCCTCCACAGCCCAGAAGGGCCTGCCCACCCCTCACCGTGTCTGCGCCTTGGCTCTCACTCTGGGCTGGGGGTGCAGAAATGGGCCTGGTTTGGATAATGGCCTCAGGCTGAGAGCCAGGATGTATTCCCCACCCGGATTTTCCTGACTTATCTTTTCCTGGCCTGACTTATCTTCACCCTGGCTCTTCACCCTGGCTCCGACATTGGCCGTCATGTGACCTTGGGCCTCCGTGTCAGCGTGGGGACGGGCACAGCCCTTGAGGAGCCAGTGAGGGCTCTGTGCAGGGGGCCTGCAGCGCCCCCTGCCAGCGCTTGGCCAGCACTAGCTCTAGACATCCCTCCTTGGGTCCCCCAGAAACTCTGAAGCCCCGAAATCCACCCACACTCTTACCTATTTGGAGTTTGGACTTTTGGGGGACAGGGGCGGGAAGGGACGTTAAAACACCTTTAACGTGCCCCGTGTGGTTCTTGGCCTTCATTTCTGAGATAAGTGAGGCTGGGCCTTACCTTGGGTTAGTACACGCCCTCCTGGCCAGCCGAGGAGCTGACAGCTGTTGGAGACGAGTCGTTTTGCTTGTTTACTCTGGTTTGGTTTTCAAGTTTGGGGGGGCACCCCCACCCCATTAACGCTCATCAGCTTTTCCAGGCCTCTGTGCCCAGAAGTACAGGGTGGTCCCACCTCCTGAGCAGCTGGTGGTCTGATCGGGGAAGGGGACTATACAAGAAAAAGTAACAACAAACGAGGGATGTAATTTAACACTCAGTAGATGAAGTCAGAATACATTTGCTATGCCACAAATTTGCCCTCACCCGGAGACTGGCACTGGGGGTTTCCTGATGAGCAGGGCAGACTCAGCTCCCAGAGCTTTTCAGAGAACCAAACACACCTGGAATCCACCGGGTTGGGTGCCCGCCAGAGGTGGGCGCCCCTCCGAGGCTGGGATTGGAAGGCAGGCATGGAAGGGGACAGGGCTGGCGGGGGCTGGAGAAGGGGGCGGGCACACTTGAGAGGAGTGAGGAAGTAGGGCCCGCAGGCCTGGCTGGCCGATGGGTCGGGAGCCGCCTGGTCGTCCACCTTTCGTTAGGTGGTCCTTGCACGAGGAGGGGTGGCTGTGGCACGCCCGCGAACCTCCCGGCCTTGGTTTCCTCTTCGGGTTCTTTTGCAGACGTCAGAGGTGATGCTCATGGAGCCTTAGCACAGTGCTAGATGCGCACGGGGAGCTCTGCACGGCCTCGTCCCACGTGATTGCTGAGCTGACTCGTCACGTGGGGAGGTCCTTGCAAGGAGCAGGGGAGTGCCCGTAGCTTACTAGTGAGCACTCGGGTTACCAGCCGTGTCCTGTTGTGCAGCTCGAGGAGTATTGTCTGTGTGCCTAAACGAGGGTGGGGCTGGTGTGGTTGTTACCCTTCTCTGATCTTCAGGTTGTAGAGTTGCATATTGGTTTTATAATTATAGAGATGTTATTAGAAAATGTGATTTAAAAATATGCTGTTCTGTGTGTGTGTGTGTGTGTGTGTGTTCACGTGACTGGAGTTTGGGGCATCCGACCGACCGGGAGAGCAGGGGTCCCCAGGGTAGCCCTGGGGAGGGAGGTCTGTCTCTGGAAGTGGCCCGGGCGGCCAGGCGCACGTGCTGACGGCATCCCCTCTGTCTGCAGATGACAGGATCTGCTCACCGCCCTTCATGGAGCTCACGAGCCTGTGCGGGGAGGACACCATGCAGCTTCTGGAGAAGAACGGCCTGACCTTCCCATTCAGTGTGTACCTGCTGGGGCTCCCCTGGGCGGGCGGGGCAGGCGTGGGCCCCCGGCCTTAAACTCAGAGGGTGGAGAGAGGCCTTGGCTGCCAGGGAGGGCATGGTCAGGGTCCCCTCTCCACACACTGTGGAAACAGGTCCTCGGGTGGTGTGGACAGAAGGGGCTTTTCTGCCACTGCTGAGGCAGCAAGTGTCCCGTGTCCCACCTGCCCCTTCCCCGAGGGCCACAGGTGTTTTGAGCCTGTCCGCGTACCTGAGCTTTGTGGATGAGTGATCTCGCTGACTCTACTTTTCTCCCCCTCCCACCCACAGTTTGCAAAACCAGAGTGGCTCACGGCACCAACTCCCATGAGGTGAGTGGAAGAAGACCTGACAATGGCGCGGCCGCTCTGCGCCCCCCGAGGCTGTGCCGCACGCACCTGCTGCCCCCACTCCGTCTGCCTCTGCTGGCTTTGTCTTTGGGCTCCAGCCTTGCCCTGTGCCTGCCCTTGTCCCCAAGTTCTGCGCCCAAGCGCGCCACCCCCCAGTCTGACCTGACTTCCACTGTTTGGCCCGTCGGTGTCATCGCTCCCTGCCGCCTGTTCTGTGCGGACACCAGGCTGGGCACCACCTAGGGCTGTGGACCGAAGAGATCTCATGGCTGCCCACAAGGGCTGGCTGGTTCTGTCAAATTTGGAAAGGGTGGGGACGAGGAAGGGCAACCTCCTGCCCCCGCTCCTCCATTCTTCATTCACCGAGCAGTCATTCCTGACCCCACTCGGGTGCGGGGGAGGCTGCTGGGGAAGTGAGCCTGGCCAGTGTGGAGCAGGCCTGCGGCAGGGAGGATGGTGGAGGACACGATGAGGCCTTCGCAGGAGGAGCCCCCGGCCAGGCAGGGGCTCCATTGGCTCTTTGTTGCCTTCACCACCCGTGGGCGCTACACCTGGGACATGCCTTCAGCCCTCCATGCCCCTTACATTTGACACCCCCAGGGGCCCATCGCTATAAGCATAGGGGACGGCGCACCGGGCAGTAGAGGTCTGAGCCTTGAGGAAGGCCCGTTGGGAGCGCCTGACCCTGAGCCCCCCCACGGACATGCTCCCCAGGCCCTTATGACTAAACATGGTGACGCTGGCAGCAGGGCCCTGAGGAGATTTATGCAGTGCCCTTGGTCCCTGGCATGTATTTATGGGGACATGGCTGCAAACAGACCTTGTTGGTGTGCTCTGGTACATGCCGTGGAGGCCGCACGGCCAAGGGCCACCTCCGCTCGTGGGAAGGGACACGGGGGCAGGAACCGGCCTGCTGCAGAGGCCAGCTGTCTCCCAAGGTTGGGAGCCCTCGTGGAGCCTTCTTGTCGGGCCTGCCTGGGCTCCGGGCCAGGGTGTGCTCTGTGCCAGGCCCCGGGGGGAGCAGGCAGGCGTCACTGTGTCCCCAGAGCCCACGCTGCCCTCGTGGCACCAGCACCTGCCTGCCACCCTTTCACCTGGCACTTTGCACCTCCAAGGGGGCCCTCCTGTGAGGGCCTGGGGGTGTCAGGATGGAGGGATGGCCCGGTGACAGCGTGATCAGGCAGCCTGCGGGCTGGGGCACTCTGCCATTCACAGACCTGGGGCCAGGCCTGGCCCTGTGCACGGCTAGCTGTGTGACTTGGGCTGGTCACCCGGCCTCTCCAAGTGTCGCCCCACCCCTGTAGCGGGTGTGACGGTGTGGTGAAGGGTGAGGGAGTTGCCCGGCCCAGGAAGTGTTGGGGCAGTGGCTCTGGGCCAGACCCTCAGGTATGGGGCCAGGGCCTTTGGGGGCGGCTCTTCACCCCTCTGGTTCCAGTCTCCATGTGCCCCCACACCCTGCTCTAGCCCGCAGTGTGCTGTTTCAGGGGGGGCTCCTCTCCCCTCTGGTGGAGGATCTGGAGTGTTGGAGACCCCCAGAGGCTCGTGTGTGCCTTGGGCCACCTGCCTCAGTTCTTAGAATCAGAGGGGCGCCCCTCTAGTGGGTGCTCTCCACAGCGTGAGCCAGGGGCTGGTGGGGCTCCTTGCCCGTCAGCGTGCCTAGGGTTGTTGACTGTAGCGAGGAGGACCCCTGGTTGGCACAACACCGCCTCCGGAGGGCACCTCTGCACCTGGTGTGTTCACAGAACTGCTTGGTTTTGTGTTTGGTTTCTAATCCAAGGCAAGCACACTGTTTGTCCCACAGTGACTGTCCCCTCACTTGTTTTTAAACCACTGAGCCAAAGCTCCACCTCCCAGCCCCGTGCCGGAGCCTGTCCCATGGTGGTTGGTGCTACCAGACAGGTGAGGGGGTGGAGCTCAAACAGGAGAGGTCCCTGCCTGTGCGGTGCCATGAGTGTGGAGCCCCGGACCCCCGTCTGCCCTCTCACCACCTCTGTCATCGGAAGGCTGAGGGGACAGTCACTTTGGGGCGTACACATTTTGTTTCCCAAGTGGCCTGGATCTCTGCTTTGGCCCCGTCGGGCTGAGACCAGGCACGCTGGGTGGCCGTCCGCGACAGCTGGGTTGGGGCAGCAGTGGGGCCGGCGGCCAGCTGTCCAGGCCGTCAGCCCCCTCCCAGCAGCCTCTGGTGGCTCCTCTGGGGCCTGTGGGCTGAGGGACTAGCTGTGGCCCTGGGCAGACCCCGCCTCAGCAGGGCCGCGCGGCTTCTTCTCGCTGTCCTCTGCCTGCTCTCCCTCAGTGCCCTGCCAGACCTCCCGTACGGACTGGGAACAGCTTGTGCCCGTTTCCTGGTCGCGTGACACTCAGCGTGTAAGAGGACAGACCCAGTCACAGTCCAGGCTTTGTCACTTTCCAGTAGGCCACTGAGCTCCTGAAGGCCTCAGTGTGTCATCTGTAAAATGGGCACGGAGACGGTGCCCACCTCAGGTGCACTGGGAGGACAGCACCGGGTGACCCACATAGTGGCTGGGACAGGGCATGTCGTGGGTGCTCCTAAGGGGCAGCCCTCGTCATTACACAGGCTTCCGCCCCTGGCCTCCCTGGCCTGGGCTGTTGTGGGGGATCCTCTGAGGATGCCAGGAGGGCTGAGTAGCGCACAGCCAGGGGGCTGCATTCCCCGACTCCAGTGTGAACGGTGGAGTTAGTGCAGCCAGCTCAACCCTGCTTGGCGAGCCCGATGGTGCTGGATTTCCAAACCCCCAGGAGAGGACTGACCGGTGTTCTTCTGAGTCCCGCTCCACTCCCCCTGGCTTGAGAGCCTTCCTGCGGAGGCTTAGGCCAGAGACGGGCTGGTGGCAGTGACAGGTGGCGCACCTGTGCCTGAGGCTGGAGGGTGCACTGACAGTCTCGACCCTGTCTCCCCAGATGGCCATCGTGTTCAACCAGGAGGGCCTGAGCGCCATCCAGCCGCCCTGCGTGGTCCAGAATTTCATCAACCACAACGCCGTCCTGTACAAGGTGTTTGTGGTCGGCGAGTCCTACACGGTGGTCCAGAGACCCTCGCTCAAGAACTTCTCCGCAGGCACATCAGGTAACCAGACCTACCGCCTTCTCAGATTGCCGAGTTCCGGGCCCGGCTGGGCCACGGCATCAGCCGCCTGTCCTTGAGCACTAACCCTGACACCTGTGTGTGTCTGGAGGGGGAGCGATGATCTGAAGGTTGAACGAATTGTGTGCTGTAGACTAGAGGTCTTGGAAAAGAAGTGAAAACCCCTATTCCACCAGGTCATTGTAGGGACTCCATCCATCTGAACCACCGTGCACTCCAAGAAGCCCCCGAAAACTTTCTGGACCCAGGTCGCTTGCAGGAACCCTGTGCAGTGAGATGCAGGAGGAACGCGCTGGAACGGATGGCTGGCCCTCCCGGGAAGCGGGGGTGGGGGTCTCGTATTTTGAGGGTCAGACCACTGGTTACTTATCCCATCTCCTTTTCCAAATGCAGAAACACTACGTTACTGGCCGCTTCTGCAGCCGCTGAGGTGAATGTGTACTGTTAGAGGTCAGCACGCAGGGTCACAGGGCTCCCCATGGGCACAGACACCCTCGGGGTGCCCCCTCACCAGGTGAGGACCGAATCCGTGATCGTTTTGGATCAGTGAGTGATGGTCCTAAGCATCCCCGGAGGTCACGCGGCAATAGCATTTGCAGGATGCTGCCATCACTGGGGCACCTGAGGAGCCCCAGGGAGGCTGGTGGCTCCGCAAGCTTAGCTTTTCTTCTGCTGCTCACCTGGCACCTGCTGACCCTCGGTCATTGCAAACACCATGCAGGGATCAGGATTTGCTGGCATTGGGGCTGCCCCGAAATGTCCCAGTGGTTCTGAGGCATCTCCAAGGCCAGTTCCAGAACCGGGAACAGTGGCAGCACCGTGAAGGAGCTGGCTTCCAGGAGCCCGGGAGGGCGGGGGTCGCGGTGTGGTTTGCTCAGGCGCGCTGCGCACTGGTGTCCACAAGGGCAACGCCACAAGGTGGGCCGCGCAGGCCGCGCTCTCCGTCGGAGTGGACAGATGGTCTTCCGGAGATCCCTCTGCTGGGGCTGCCGGTCACAGTTGCTCCTCGTGACTCCAGCCCACTGTCCTGAAGGAAGTTCAGCTGTCCTTGTCTTCCTCCACCGTCTTCCCGTGAACCACAGCAGACGCGTGGAAGTGTCCTTCCGGTGCAGGCGGCTTCCCCCCAGGCCTGGGCCCCAGACTGCAGGCTGTTCTCGGGGTGCAGGACATCCTTGTCCTGACGCTGCTGCCAGCCCCTCCCTGGAATGGTGCACAGTGTCTGCCGGGGGCCTCTGGCATGTGACTGTCCTGGCAAGCAGCAGTCCTATACTATGGGCCAGAGGGGCTGGTTTTTTTTTTAATCCTCATTTTTCAACCTTTACATCTTTGGAAAATGTATTCAATTAAGAGTAGTTATACCTTATGTAGTCTCCTTTCCTTTTTTTTTTTTTTTTTGTTAACAAAATCACTACCTCTCTAAAAGAAATTTACTACAATGTCCCTCCCTTCTACCCAGAAAGTGTCCCCCTTTTTGTCCTGGTTGCAGAGTGCTGGGCAGTGTCGAGCAGGGCATGGCTCCCCGTCTGTGTGTCTTCCTCTGGCCCTTTCCGGGTTGCCGGTTGGCCATGAAATGTAGACTGGGGCCGAGTGAATGAGCAAATGTACACTGAGCTGATGGAGAAATGTCTACTGGGCTGAGGCTGAGTAACTTCCAGCATCTCTGTCATCTATCCCCAAAGCTCAAGCCGTGTCCGCTGTCCAGGGCATTGCCCGGGAGCTGGTGTGGGCTTTGTTCCTTTTATACGCGTGTTCTCGTCCGAATGAGAAGGTCAACCAGATGGCAGAGGGGCTTGGGGCTCCAGGCTCTTTCCAGCGCCCACCCACTTTCTGGTTCCCGTAGCCCAGTGTGGTAGCCCCCGGTCTCCCCTGTGGCGTCAGGAGTTGGGGACAACTTGATCAGGACTCTCCAGGACACAGGCTGGAGGAGACGCTGTCCTTCCCTCCACCGCTGCCGTACTCTTTGGGTTCTCAGATGCACTTTGGCTTTTACGTTTTAAGGTCTCTGAAGCCAGGTGTGTGTCCCGCAGCCGGTGGCACCTAGCAGGTGCGTCCTCTGGAACGGAAGTCACTCTGACGCAGGGAGTTGACATTGGCCTGTGCCAGCCACCAGGAACATTTCCATTCTCTGCACGTGGTTCCCAGTCTTGGGGAGCCCCCCACGCCATGCCAGAATCAGAAAGGGCACGGCCCTCTGCTCCTCCTCTGCAGTGGGTTTATTTCTTGTTTCCTTTGTGGACACAGAGCTTTGATTCTAGTCTGCTCCCTTGTCCCCTTGGGGGTACATAAAAGAATGCTGCCACTTAACACATAGAGGGAGCCAGCAGGCGTTTTTCTGCAAAAGGCCAGAGAGTACATTGTCCAGCTGCGGCCTGGTCACCTAACGCTGCCACGGCAGCCTGGAAGCACGGTGACAGCCAGTGACTGAGCACAGCTGTGTCCCAATGAAACCGTGTTCGCACACAGCTGGTCTCAGCTAGAGCCTCTGCAGTTTGACAGATGCTGCACTTCCCCTCCACACCCAGAGAGACGACAAGGAAGCAAAAGGGGCTGAAGAGAGTGTGGCCAGAGCTCATGGCTGCACCACTGAGTTCCTGGGTATTTCGGGGTTCATCTCGTCATTTTCTCTTTTAACTTTGAACCTGTTGTTCTCTGCTGTGCATTGCAGACAGAAACACCCATGTTCCTCTCATTGTCCCCGCACCCGTGCAGCGAGGTGGTGGTGCCCCTCACCAGGGCTCGCTGTCTGGGGAACAGCCCGGGAACAGAGTGGAGGGGCCCCCACATCCAGGGTGTTCCTGCGATCACAGTGCCAGGGCCTGGCCGGGTCCATCTTTAGAGGGGCTGGGTGTTTTTTAAGTAAGCTCTGAGCTTTATTGAACTTCTTTATATTTATCTATTTTATTTTTTAACCCTCACTGGATGTGCGAGGGAAACATCAGTCAGTTGCTCCTACCTTTGCTCCAACTGGGGATTGAACCCACGACCTTCTGGTATACAGGATGACGCTCCAACCAGCTGGGCCACACCAGCCAGGGTGCACTAGGCGTCTTGAAGCTGCCCGAGGAACTGGCGCCAAGGGTCACTCTGACCCCGCCTGGCCTGGCCTGGCTTCCCATAGTCTCCTGGGTGGCAGCTTCCAGCCATCGCACTCCCTCGGGCCCTGGTCAAGCTGCGCTCTGGAGGGTCTGAGCAGAAGGCAGCTCTCCCTGCCCGGCCATGACCAGTCCTCGGGCCAGGGCCCCAGGTCCGCGTTGGCCAGGAGAAGAAACGTGTCCCCTTTGCAGTGGGCCATACTTTGGATTGGTCTTCATGCCATGAGAAGCTGTTGGGTGACATGGTCTGTCTAGTTCAATGGGCACCAGGTAGGCCCTCCGTGTGCCCGGCTCCTTCCTGTCTGGGTACAGCTAAGCCCCATGGTGTTCCTCGGGCTCCTGCAGGCCCTTCGGCTCCCTGCTCTGGGTGGCCCTCCTCCCCCAGGCCTGCTCTGCCTTCCCGGCTACTGCCCTTGGACACCCATGAAGTAGGTGGGAGGTGCCTGAGCTCAGTCGGGCTGGGCCAGGCTGGGGTACAGGGTTAAAAGGTGGGCAATGCCTGCAGAAGGCCAGAGTGCCCATCCCAGCAGCTCCAGCCCTGCTCCAGCCTCTGGCCCATGGGGCTTTCTACCCCCAGGGCTCACTCTTCTTGGCTGTTAGTGCTCAGGAGTAGAGGTGGTTGGAGCTGCTTGGCACAAGTCCTGCAGGGTGTTTATTTTCCCCAGGCTCCTCCCCAGGACCGTCTCTCATGCCCCCGGTCTGGACCGGCTCTGGTGGGAGCAGCGGGAGGACTGTCGGGCACACCGGGGCGGCAGGGGGCCTGTGTGCCCCGCTAGCAGGAAGGACGCCAGGTACATCTCAGCGCCTGCCTGCTTGGCCTCCGCCCAGATCACTTCCTTGTGCATGATTGTTGGTTGCATCGCCGTAGTCCTGGAGCTGGTGTGTCCTCGGCCTGGGCCCTGGCACGATGATGCCCCGCCTTCCTGTCCAGCGCTCAGGGGTCTGGATCCCAGGGATAAACAAAGTGTCCTGGGGCACAGAGCCACATGGAGGCTCATGGCCTGTGTTGTACTTGGGGGGCTCACGGGGTGGGTGATAGGCCCTGGCCCGAGGCTCATGGAGTTGCGATTCTTGCATTCGTATGCCCACTCTTCCAAGTGCTCAGGGACGTGTCTGCCTGGCCGACCAACCTTCCTTTCCTCTCCGAGGGGTGAACACATAGCCAGCCTCATGGCTCCCGTTATTCTTGGGATCGGCCTGCCTGTCTGGGTGCCCCCACGGGATTGAGGGACATGGGGTGCCATGGACGTGGGCATGGATCAGGGGGTATGGGGCGATAGAGGGTGGAGGGCATTTCAGGGGGCTGTGCCAGCTTCCAAAGCCCGATGATTCTGTGTGCCTTCTTGGATGTTCCCTACGGAAGCCCATGTTCTAATTTCCTAGTTTTTCCATAAATGGTTGGGAAACAGCAGAACCCTTTTGTATTTTAAACATTCACATGCCAAGGGCAGCCTGGCTGTGTCTAAGGTGCTGCCCGGGAAAGCAGCTCCGAGGGCAGATGCCGGGAGGGCTGGGAGGGCTGGGTTACATGGCATTGCTGGGCCTCTCATCCCGGCCTCTGATGTTTGGGTGTGAGTGTTTTCTGCTCCCGTAGCCACGCGCACCTGGCCCCCTTTCAGATGCCATGTCCGTAAGACATAGGGCACAGTCTGGGAATGAGGCCTTTAGGTGTTGGAGAAAACCAGACCTGATCCTGTACGAGGGAGGCCGAGGTGGGCTCATTAAGCCAGTCATTTTTATATGGGAAGAAAATTTGAAACAGAAGCCCTGAATGGGTATGCGTCCGTCCATGGTGTGGTGTCTCCTTGGGGTGGGGGTACCGGGCTCACTGGGGCCCCAGGTGGCTGCTGTTGGCCCCTGAGCCTGAAGGCCATTGTGGTCACCGTCCCTCGTGGCTGGGGTGGTGCTGCCCCCTGGTGTCAGGCGGTGGAGTAGCCATCCCTTCTTTGAGCTTCTAATTGGCTTCTCCCTGTGTTTGTTTTTTCAGACCGCGAGTCCATCTTCTTCAACAGCCACAACGTGTCGAAGCCAGAGTCGTCGTCGGTGCTGACCGAGGTATGTCCTCCTGCCGTGGGGGCCTGGGGTGCGCCTGCTGTGAGCTCTCGGCGGGGGGCCCGGGGCCGAGCTCTCGCTGCAGGAGGCATCTCTCACCCATGCCAGGGGCTTGCTTCAGGCTTCGGCTGATGACCTCCACGCCTGCGCCTGCTCACCACTAGGTTACTCCAGATGGAAGGTTTTCCAAGTCTTTTCCCCGCATGAGGAAATGCCCCCAGTCAGGAGGAATTTGATAACCTGCTTTTCACTGATATAAGAAAAGGGTGGGAAGCCATGCCCCCTCCTTTTACTGTTTGTCAGTGTGAACCCCGTGAGAGTTAAGAGCCCAGTGGTACTTCGGTGGGTGGTGAGCTTGGCAGCTGGTCAGGGAACGTTGCTGTGTGTCCGGCTCCCTCCCGGATGCCTGTGGCATCGCCGCCAGGCCCTGAACCAGCCCCGCAGGGACAGGGCGGGCAGGTGAGCAGGGCAGCTCTACGTTCCCGAGGGGAGACCGTGCCCAGTGAGGCTGAGTGGCTGCTCCAAGCTCACAGGGCTGTGCCCTCCAGGACAGAGCCGGGACTGGACCCCAGATTGGTCTAATTCCAAATCTGGGTCTCCCAGGATTTGGGACTTTTTATCTCTCTGGAAACTGTGAAGTAGACAGTTAGAAATCGCCACAGGGCCACCCTCCTCGGTCTCTGTGAGTCCAGGAAGCCAGAAGCCTCTGCCACCACCTCCTCCGAACTGGAGGCCTCTGCCGGGTCTCCTGTCCCGAGTCCCAGCATCCGGGCCATTCTGGGACGGTTTGCCCGTGCCCCTTCCCTGTCCCGGGCTGGCCTCACCGACCAGACCCAGGGCAGACCCCGCCTCGGACTCACTGTTCCGGGTCAGGGCTCCTGCTGGCCCGATTGCCTCCTGCCCTGACCCGGCGCCTGGCCCTTCCTGTTTGTCTCTGTTCCTCTGGGGCCAGCTGTGTGCTGAGGGTTTGACCGAGCACCGGTGTGGACGGGCCTGGAGGGACCACCAGCGCCTTCGGGACACTGATGGACGTTTCTCAGGAACAAGGTTCACAGTCAGGGAAGCTTGGGGGAACAGTCAGATTTAAACAGTACCTCTTGGTGCCTGGCTGTGTGCATTAGAAAATATAAACAGATTGGGCAAGAAAGGGCGTTAAAAAAAAGGATTTTTTGGCTGCCTGAGCTTCAGACCCTCGAGACGAGTCCGGTTCCACAGGGCTCCTCCCTGCAGGGCTGCCAGGCGTAGCTCGGGCAGGACGGAGGGAGGGCGCCGTCCCTGCACACCCTGCACAGCGTGTGGGGCCAGTGCTGCTGGGGCTGTTAACGGACACCAGAGGGTCCCTGTGAGGGTCACAAGCAGAGTGACCCACTGGAAAGTGACCTCTTGGACAGTCTCCTGTATCTTTATTTGTAAAATGGGAGAGTCAGCCTAAGGATAGTTCCGGGGCCTTCTCTGTACCTGAAGGGTCTGCCATTGTCTCCTCCTCCCCAGCTCCTGCCTGCTGTTCAGGGTCCCCGGGGTGAAGGGAAGTGCAGTCAGCTGACCGCCGTTAGGAGAGCAGCTTCCTGCTCACCTGCAGGCTGGCTGGGCCCAGACCGCCCTTCCAGACATGCCCTGCCATCCTCCTGCCCGCTGGGGCGCCCTCCAGTCCTGCCCCGGCTCCTGCAGGGAGCCCTGCCCTGGCCTTGAAGCGCCCTCCACTCTCAGCTGGAGCCCCAGCCCCACACCCAGCTAGCAGGCCCAAAACACCGGCAGAGGGAATGGTTAAGAGGGGGCACTGACTGCACTGCCTGGGTCAGACTCCAGCGCCACCGCCTCCCAGCGGTGCGGCCTCATCTGCAGCCCCCAGGCCCCAGGCCTCAGGCCCAGCCCTGGCAGCCGCTCGTCTGCAATCTGTCTCTGGAGCGGCCTCTTCTGACCTTCCGTAATGAGGGAGTCACACGAATGGGACCTCTTGTCCGGCTTTTCCCTGAGCCTGATGTTTCAGGGTTTGTCCACGCTGTTGCTCGTACAGTGACTAGCACTCCGCTGTGTGCTGGAGTCTGTCTGTCACCTGTCAATGGACATTTGGGGATCTCTGCCCGTTGGCTGCTGTGAACAGCGCATGCACGCCCCCGCCCGTTCTGGGCGCACACCTGGGCGTGGACTTGCTGTGTTTGACGCTGTGACCCGGCTGCACTCTTACTCCGGATGGATCAGGCCCCTCTTCCCCTCGGCCCCAGCCCTCAGTCCTCGGGACTCCCGCATGTACTGAGCGCCTCCTGCGACCCCTGTTCTGACTTAGGGTGACACGGTGCTGTCCCTGCCCCAGAATCGGGGTGAGCACCTCATCCCAGCCAGGCATGTGCTGTCCCCAGCTCGTCAGGGCCCTCCTGCTCCTCCCGATAGTCTGGGGTGGAAGCCTCGTTGGTCCTGCTCCTCAGGTGGGCAAACCGAGGTGCAGAGAAGCCACATCCTCTTCCTAAGACCACAGCTAGGAGGTCGCGGTCAGGCTCCCGCTCCAGGTCTCTCTGACTCTGGATCCTTCCCGTGCGGCCTGGCGCGTCCTTGGAGGCCCAGGAAGACGTGTGGGCCTGTCCCGGGAAGGAGCCGTGGTGCTGGGGCAGGGTCGGCCCGCTGGCCCCACAAGGCTTCGCTGGACTCAGCACGGCCGGGGGAGCAGCAGAGGAGCCTCTCTGGGGACGCCATCGCCCATTCGAATGAGGCTGCTGCAAAGGGGAGTCCGCCCGGGAGCCCTGTCTCCCCCACTGTCCAGTACTGGGCAGTAAATGAAGGCTGGTCCACAGAGTCCCCCACACACACACCTGGGTACAAGTCCAGCTCTGGCCACGGTGGGCTGGTCGGGAGATGCTGACCAAGTCTTTCCTGCTCCCTTGTCCGCCCGACTCCCAGCTGTTCACAGCTCTCCTGCGGGCTCTTCCCTGCACCTCCCTCCAGTGCACCCTCACCTGGGGCCTTCTCCTCCCAGACCCTCTCGCCTGCGGGGGCCAGTCCCTGCTCCTGCCCACAGTCTTCCTGGCTCCCAGCAGACCCGCTCCGTCCCTCCTGCTTAGACGGTTGGGTGTTAGAGGCCAGCACACCTGTGTACAAGTCCAGCCCCGGCCTAGCCCCTGACCCGTGTGTAAAATGCTGATAACAACACCCACCTCCCAGTTGTTAGAAGGCCTGGAGAGGTCATGGACACTATACACGCAGGACCTGCCTCGTTGGCAGGTTTTAGAAATGGCCATCCTGGTGCTGACGGGTCTGTCCTGCCTCCTTGCCTGCGGGTCTGTGTGGTGTGGCTTTGCACGTCCCCACCTATGGCCTGACTCGTGTGCGTGTGTGTGTGTTGACAGCTGGACAAGATCGAGGGCGTGTTCGAGCGGCCGAGTGACCAGGTCATCCGGGAGCTCTCCCGGGCCCTGCGGCAGGCGCTGGGGGTGTCTCTGTTCGGGATCGACATCATCATCAACAACCAGACCGGGCAGCATGCTGTCATCGACATCAATGCCTTCCCAGGTGAGCGGCAGGGATGGGAGCAGGGTCCATCCCTCACTGTCTGTGGGACGGGGGTCAGTGCAGCCCCCACTAAGCCTCAGCTCCGCTGCTAATGGGGTTGCCGGTGTGGGAGGAGCAAAGGAAGTCGAGTTTGTACATCTGGCCAGAGCGCGCACACTGGGGCCGCCAGACCATGTTCTCACCCTGCTCTGACCCTCGCCGTCAGCAGGAGCCTTTGTTGCCAAATCTCAGCTGATCCTTGGGCCTGTGTAGATTTAAAGAGCTGAAAGGGGGCCCTGGCTGGTTTGGCTCAGCGGTTAGAGTGTCGACCTGCAGACCACAGTCGCGGGCTCGATTCCGGCCAAGGGCATGTACCTCGGTTGCAGTTTGATTCCTGGCCCTGGTCGGGGTCGGGGTCGTGCAGGAGGCAACCAATCGATGTGTCTCTCTCACATCAATGTTTCCCTCCCTCCCTCCCTGTCTCCCTCCCTGCCTCCCTCCCTCCCTCCCTCTCTATCTGAAGATAGGTGGGAAAATGTCCTCAGCTGAGGATTAAAAAAAAAAGGTGAAAGGGTGCTGGAGGAGATACACCCCCCCCCCCCCGGTTATATGTAGGGCACTGAGCCCCCCAGGGAGGAGTTGCCCCAGGTCGCACTAGGCTGGTGGCAGGGCCGTGCTCCTCACCCCAGGGTCGCAGCTCCCTGCTGCCTGCTGGAGCCCGAGGCGGGTGGCACGTGCCGGGCCCTCGTGGTCTCGCTCCAGCGGGGGCTCCACAGAAGACCCCACCACGTGGAGACTGTCCGGAGCATTTGCAGGGTGCAAGGAAGCCCCCATGCACAGGGAGGGCTGCGGGCATCAGGCCCTGGGCTGGCCGCCTCGGGGGGCTGTGTGCTGGGCTGTCATTGCACCCGTCATGCCAGGCCTGCCCCCGACCTCCACCAGCAGCACCTCGTTTGCCGTGGGGACGTGGAGGCTTGGGGCGGGATAACGTGTCCAAAATCACTTGCTACCCAGTGGTGGAACCGGGATAGGGCCCTGTGCTCCTGACCACAGGGCTTCCTGCCCTCAGCCCCAGCGGGTTCAGATCCTGGCTCTGCCTTCACAGCCTGACGACACGCCACCTAGCGGGGCAGTCAGTGGGAATGGCGTTCCCCCTTCGCGGAGACAGGAGATGGTGTTTGCGCAGCCTGGCCCTTGAGCCGGCGCCCTGCGGTGCAATTCACCTCGAAGCTGGAGAGCAGTGGGCCCAGAGCGGCCGCGCGGCCTCTGGCCAGGTGCCGCAGACCTGAGGGGCTTCCCGGCCTCCTGTGCGCTCTCGGGCCTCCGTCCCCCACCGGAGGTGCACACACCCTGCCTCATCTGGGGACAACGGGGTGGCTGCGAGGGAATGGCTTGTGTTCCCCGGCGTTGCTGTGGCTCCAGCTCTCCTCCCGCACGCGTGTCTGCACCGGAATCCCGGCCATGCGCCCTGCCCTCCCCCAGCCCAGCCCCAGCCCCAGCCCCGAGCGAAACCCGGTCCTAGGTGGGGTGCCCAGCACCACATGGTATTCAAGGCCCGGGGGGACCAAAGGGCCTGGTTCAGAGCCTGGCTCTGCCACTCAGGGAATTGTGTCCTCACCTGTGAAGAGGGGCCGGAGCTCTGACCCCGGGTGAGCACCGCCGTGGACGCACCACCACCCTCCCCTCCCACGGACTGTCGCACCTCCACCTGTTGATGTTCTTCTTGTCTTTGGGGCCAGTGCTTTGCCTCTTGTTTCTCCGTCTGTGAAGGGACAGCGGTGAAGGTGGAGCGGGGTGTGTCCATGGAAGCAGAGTGTGTGCCTGTGGGCACCACTGTGTCCTCCGCTCGGTCTCGGGCTCCCTCGAGCGGACCCATGAGGCAGCCCGCCCTCGGCTCTGTGAAAGCTCGCGCACCTGCCCCTTCCTGGACCTTCTTGGTCCCCGCCCCCCTCTCCTCACCTTGTTCTTGCAACCTTGCCCTGCCTGGTTCTCGTCCTGCCAGATTGGTGTAGGAAGGTGGGGACCCAGCCCAGGTCGCAGGTTTCTGAAGCAGTTTGGGGGAGTCTCGCTCTGCTCAGCCGGTGGCTCCCAAGGACTGTTTGCTGACATTCCATCTGCATCCGCATCTGAAGTGGTTTCAGGAGCCCGGGCCCCACTCTGTTAGGGAAGCAGTGTCAGTGTGCGGTGGCCTGGGGGTGCTCAGGCTTGGCCCCTTGGCTTCGGTGCTGAGCGTAGGCACATGTCATGCCCTGCCAGTATTTTGGCCTCAATTCTGGGAGCAGCTGCCATGGATCAGGCACCACCCACACCACAGCCCCTTGGTTGTACCCAGAGAGCCTCCCGAGAGTCCAGGCCGCGTGGTGGGAGGGTGTTTGTGACTCAGCACGTGGGGAGTGGGCCTGCGGTCCTGCCACCTCCGCCGTGCCACACGATTCCAGCGCCTCTGAAGCTGCCCGAGAGGGACGGGGTCCCAGAGTGTTTGCTCATCAGCCCACGTGCTACAGCTTCTCACATTCGGGGGGCAGCGAACCCAAGGAGCAGCCCTTTGGAGCCACGCATGCCCAGCTTTGAGTCTCCCGTGTGACACCTTGTCCAGTCCCACCTCGCTAAGCCGGCTGTCTGTCTCTCCCACCCAGGCTACGAGGGCGTGAGCGAGTTCTTCACGGACCTCCTGAACCACATCGCCTCCGTCCTGCAGGCCCAGAGCGCAGCCAGCGCGGGGGACGCGGCCCCACTGCGGCACAGCAGGCTCCTGGCGGAGCAGGCGGACAGCCTAGCGGGCGAGCGGACGTGCAGCGCCAGCCCCGGCTGCTGCAGCAGCATGATGGGCCAGGACCCGCCCTGGACCGCGGAGGCCGCGGGGGGCGGCGTGGGTGCGGGCGGCGCGGCCGCCAAGCTGCCCCACCAGAGACTCGGCTGCACCGCTGCCGTGTCCCCCAGCTTCCAGCAGCACTGTGTGGCCTCCCTGGCCACCAAGGCCTCCTCCCAATAGCTACAGAGCCCAGGACCCAGAGGGCGGCGTGGGCCACGGAGCACAGCCACAGGGTGAGCGGCTCCTGGTGGTGACATCCTAAGAATTCCCAACGGTCTGATTTTTTTTCCAATGTTTAACCTTATTTTCTGATGTCATTATCTAAGTGTGGGATTGGGGGGAAGACGGGAAAGAGCCCCAGTGGTCCGGCCTCCTGGAAAAGGGACACCTGCCTACTTCCTGCTGCGCAGATCCACTGAGTTTACACACGCGTGTTTTCAACACTAGGTCTGAGTGTGAGGGGTGTGCCGTGTGGGTGCCGTGCGTGTGCGAGTGTGTGTGCACATCCATGTCTTGGTCTCGATGGCTGCTGCGGACTGGGCCTTGGGACGCTGCAGGGGCCGCCTTGGTCCGGCTGCTGCCCTGAACAGCACGTGAACGGTTCCCCTTCTCCCTCCTCCCCTGGCCCCCGCCTGCCCCAGCTGGGACCCCTCCTGCCGGCCACCTCCTCGGCTTCGGAGGAGCGGGGCCTGAAACCCTGCCAGGTGCGCAGCTGCCCTTTCCTCCCGAAAGCATCGCCCAGGAGGCGAGAGGCCGCAGCTACCGTGTGCTGGGGGCTTCCAGGCTGGGGTCTGGGCGGCTGCCACCGGCTTCCGTCTCCCGGGACGGAAGGGGAAGGAAGCTCCCAGCGGAGCCAAGGCCCTGGGTTCGCTGCCTCTCCGTGTTCAGCCTCCTGGAGCCTGCCCAGCCCCCCCACGTGTCCCACGCCGCCCTGCGAGGGCCCCTCCTTCCTTGACCAAACACTGCTGCTCCTGGGGGGGAGGCTGCCTGGTGGGGGGCCCGGCCGATCCCGCCTGTGCCAAGGATTTGTGCCGTGATTTTGGGCAAATCATTCCTAGAGTTGCCGGCCTCTGCGACCTCATTGAGACCAGAACTCAAGGGCGGGCTTGACGCCCCAGCCCCTGCCGTGCAGCCTGCTTTCCCATGAAGTGACCCTGGGTGAACCCCCCTGACATCGAGGCGACTGGGGCTCCTCTTCCCAGCAGGAGGAGGCCACCCATGGGCTTCGGTCCCGTTCACATCCGCTTGGCCCACCCTCACTCAGAAGGCCCCTCCCGTCTTCATGGCACTGAGCCAGCCAAGGGGGAGGGAGCGGCAGCCCCAGAAATGAGAGATCACGATCCCCCCCTCTTAGAGTCACCCCGGCCCCTGGCGACAGCAGACTGACTGCCAGCTGGTTGTCACATCCCAGGTCCAGGCAGGCTGGCAGCCCTCAGAGAGGGGGCCGGGGTGGGGCTCTGTCCTGGGTAGTGGGAGCCCCGGGAGGCGCACAGGATGCTGAGCATGATCTCAGGTCGTAAGATCCCGGTTGGCTCAGAGCAGAGGGCCCTGGGCTGTCCTGTGTGGTCCGAGGAGGATGAAGAGGCCGCTGAGCTGGGGGTCCCCCCAGGCCTGGCTCGGCGGGGAGCGGGGTGGCTGCCATCAGAACTGCCCGCTGACTAACCGCGTTTACACGACTTGCGTGTGGAGCCCCGATTATGTCTGTACGTCACCCTTCCTCGGCCGACCGAGCCCGGGGCGCGGGGAGCGTGACCGGCCTCTTGCACTGCTTTGTCTCCAGAATAAACTACTGAAATCAAACCACACTCCACCGGTGTCCGCAGTGTTGCCCAAAGCCTGTCACTCCCCGAGTCTGGTAATAAAATGGCTTTACCTTTGTGAGTGAAATTCCAATCCCAGTGTGCCTCAAGAACGGGGCGAGTGTGGTGTGACCCTGTGGCCAGGCTGGACCCCTGGCCGTCGCGTGTTCCTGTGTGATCTGTCACCCCTCAGTGTGGCACGTGAGAGTGTCCAGGCCCCAGATATCAAGTGGCTGTTTTCCAGGGACGTGGTTTCCCACAGCCTCGCTGCAGGTGGCGGACACAGGCTGCCTTCTCCAGGAAGGAGAGCGAGGGGCAGGTTGGCTTCCTAGAGGCAGGGTGCTTCCCGTGGCGGCAGAGGCCCAGCGCACCCAGGCGTGTGCGGCCTCTCCCCAGGGCTGTGACCGCCGAGCGGCACCCGTGGCCATCTGAATGGACTGTGGGAGCTGTCAGGGAACCTGGTGTGGAGAGGAACTGGACAGTGATGTGCATCATCCCCCCAATGCCATGTCACCTGGGGGTGCACACGGAGACCGGCCACGGAGTTGGCTTCCCCTTAGGCCTCGTTGTCACTAGCCTCTCTTCATCAGTTGGCGGGCACACTGGGGCCTGTAGCCCTGCAGCATCTAGTGGCAGTTGGCAGAGCCATATTTTGCCCGAGGCCCTGGGTAGGTTCAGAGGGTCACGTGTGAGGTCTGTGAGCTGGGCCAGGCTCTGTGTGTGGGTGTCTGATTGTGTTTGATGCCCCAGCCGAGTGCAGGTGCTGGACGTGTGTCCCACGGGATAGCCCAGAGGTGTGTCCGAGAGCAGGGGCCTCGCCGTGGGCAGCATGCAGGCGTCCAGGCTGGCAGACCCTGGAGTGTCCCCGCGAGTCGGCGGGGCACCCTCAAAGTGGGCCTGCCTGCATCTTGAATCCTACCGTTGAAGGAGAAAACCTGGAAAAGGAGTCCTCTTGACCCAGAGGACTGGGCTTTGGGGAGGCCTGGGGCCCTGGCAGGAAGCTGCAGTTTTCAAGCCAACTGGGAAGAGCAGCTGTCGCCTGTCCTTGTCATAGCCGGGAGGCTGGCCCTCAGCTTGGGCACGCACATCGGCCACGAGAGCCATTGCGTGGCTTCACTCGTGCCCCTGGGGCTCACCTCTTGTCTCTCCTCTGTCCCCTAGAAAGCATCCTTCGCTCGGTGAGCCCCAGCTTCTTGGGCCATGGCTCCAGGGAGCTGGCTGTCCTGTGGGAGCTTGGTCCCCCCACCAGGGCTCACCACAAGCAGGGGACTGCGTTGATTACTGACAAAGTTCTGGGCTTCTCCCTCCTTGGTCAGCCTGGCCTGAGCCGGGGCCTGGGGTGATGTGTCCCTGCTCCTCCTGACGAGGGGTCCGTCGACCTGGTCTCGGAACGCCCCTGAACACACACACTGTTCAAGGGGAGCTGACTTACAGACGGCCTGGGCCCTCGTCCTGTCCTGACCTTCCAGAATGGCCGCGTTTCCTCTTGACGTCGAGTTGTCGGTAACCTGGTGGCTTGCAGAACTGTCACTGCCGCAGCCTGACCCCTTGTCCCAGCGTGAGGTGGGTCAGACCCGTCTGCAGCTGGCTCCCCCCGAAAGGCCCCGCGAGGGGACGGCACACCACTTGGGCAGTCCTGGTTTCGTGCTGACGCCTGTGCTCCGACAGGCGCTCCTCGCTTCGGCCCTGTTCCCAAGCAGCGCCTGCCAGCCCCAGGCTCGCTCCACCTACTGTGAGCACACGTGTCCGTGTGTACTACACGAAAGCACGGCTCTGTACGCACCAGCAGCCAGCCGAGGCCCACGGCTCTCCTGAGCGGGGTGCGTGTTTGCCCATGGGGCGGCGCTGTGACCCTGCAGGTGGTCCGTCTCTGGACCGGGTTGTTTCAGGGTCCAGGGGACCCGTGTCCCCTCCATTTGCTGACTAGTCTTGGGAGTGGATGTTTGATACTTGACCGACTGGTGGGAAGTAGCGTGTTTGTTTCTGTAACTGTTGGGGATGGAGGGCAAACCTGTCCTGAAACCTGAAGAAATAAACACCTTTCAGCACAGAGCTCCCCTGAGGGCAGCCCTCTGGGCTGCGGGGAGCAGGTGTCCGCACCCCGTCACCTGCTTCACACGACAGGCCCAGACTTGCCGAGCCCCCTCAGATGACTTGTGCTGTCATAATAGTTTTCTGATCCAGGCTGGCTGGGCCTCCCACATCCCTGCCACAAGCTAGTGAGGAGATAGTATTACCCCACTTGATAGATGGGGAGACAGAGGCCCCGAGAGCCGGGAGCACTTGCCCAAGCTCCCCAGCAGGACTGCCGGCTCCAGCTCGTCTGCCGTGAAAACCCGCACTTCTGGGCAGCGGCCCCGGGAGTCAGGGCACGTCCGTTCATCTGCGGGCTGAGGCCTGCAGGCCCACAGGCCACAACAAACGTGTGCGGATGCCCGAGCAGCCCGAGCAGGCCGGTGCACCCGCCCTGTCCATTCCGCTGTGCAACCCTGTAGTCCCCACGGCTAAATGTGTTGGGCATCACCCCTGCCCGTGACCTTGCTGAGTCATTTCACCTTGTGAGCCTCAGTTCCCCACTCTCAAAGCTGAGACTGAGACCTGCCGTGCTCTCGTGGATCATTAGATATTCAAGGACTCCAGATGCCCTGGACTCTGTGCAGGTACTAGTCAGGGGCGGTGGACTCATGCGGGGGGCACATGGCCTTGGCGGCAGGCGCCCTCCCGGGCCGTCGGGGCCTCTCCCCAGCACCATGGAGAGCAGGGCTGTTTCCCAAGCGGACCCCGCCTTTGCAGGGCCCAGCTCAGGTGTAGCTGGGAAATGGGAGTGAGGAAGGAACCGGGGAGCCCCTTTGGGTATTATTTAATCCCCACACACTTGGAGGCAGATGTCAGCACCCCATTATACAAAAGTTGAGAAAACATGCCCAGGGGTGTAGAGTCCCTTGCCCGAGATCCCATGGCTAGGAAACTGCCCAGACAGGAGTCACCCGGGTGGACCGAACCTCCCCTTGTCCCTTTGCCAGGATCCAGTCCATGCCACCCCACTCTGAGGCACGAGGGGGAAGGGTTCACAGAAGCAGGAGGGAGCCCAGAGCAGATTTATTTGTCCCTTGGTAAACTTGTACAGGATATATTACAGTCGGGAGTTCTCAACTTTCACCAAAGGTCAGCGTTATTGCAGGGTGCCCAGTGGGCCTGATGTGGAAGGAGAACTTCTCGAAAGCTCCCTGTGTGCGGAGAGGACCGTGTCTGAAACCAGGTCTGCCCTGCAGAGGGGCTCGGTGAGGCCAAGAGCAGGAGAGGAGCAAGGGGCAGCAGGTGGCCGGGCAGGGCGGCCGCCACCTCCCTACCGGAAGCAGCGCACAGGTCGGCGGGCAGGACCTGTGAAGGGGACGACACAGGACCCCGGGTGCCTGGGGCCCCGGCGGGTGGGGCCAGCCGGCGCCTCAGCCCTGCTGCAGCGCCTGCAGCTGGTGGGCCACCTTCTCCAGCTCCGCCTCGATGGCTGACAGGCTCTCCAGCTCCTGGTCCTAGGAGAGGACACCAAGGGTCAGGCCGGGACTGGCCCAGGGGCCGGTGCCAGCATGGCGGTCAGCAGCCAGCCCGACTGTGCTGCCAGCTAGCTGTGCGGCCTGCCTCTCGGAGCCTCAGGCCTCTGCACCATGGAGACTCTGATGCCTACAGGGCCGCTCTGAGGGGCACTGTGCACGAGAACGTGGGGGAGCCAGCCCTGACCCCACAGCGCCCCAGTGGCCCCTTACCCAGTCCTGCCGCCTCCTGGACGGTCCCAGGTGGGTGTGTGGAAAAGGAACCCTCTGGTTCAGAATTCCTTCAGTGCCCCCACCCCGGGCCTAGACTGTGCCAATGGCTCCCAGCGCGCGTCCGGGGCCTGGGTTTCCAGTCGGCGGCGGGCCTCCCAGCTGCGGGTGTGGGCCCAGGACACAGGCTGGGGGGAGGGCTGCCCCACCTACCTGTCGAGGGCTGGGCCTCAGTCCTTGGTCCCAATCTGGGGGGCCTGACCTCTGGTTGACAGGGTGGTTCAAGGACACATCCCATGAGCCCACTGGGTGCCCCAACCTCAGGAAGCTTCCAGGTCCCCAGAGCTGGGTCAGATGCCCATGAGACTGTGCCCTCAGGAGACCCCTGGCCTGACCTGGGAGGAGTGGTCTTGGGGTCCCTGCCGCATGCCAGGCTGCACCCGTCCCCACCCCCTGCACCAGGACAGCACTGACAGCCTCACTGGGAACAGGCACTGGTTGCCATGGAAACAGGAGCCCAGAGCCCTGTCTTGGAATAGCCCCTGGGGCATGAGTTCTGTGATCTGGAGCCATTTTTAGGAAGACCCTCGGGCTGGGTGGAGTGGTCCCCATGGCTCCCCCTGCCTGTGCAGAAGGGCGCTCCAGAGGCTGCGGTGAGGAGCGAGCTGCTGTTTCCTGGGCCCGTCCCTTCGGTCTCCTGGGGACATACAAAGGCCGATGACCTGCTCTGGCTCCAGCTGCTGAGACCCTTGTCCCAGACACACAGAGAGGGCTGGAGACCGAGGAAGCTCCCCCCAGGGCGTCCTCCAGCTCCAAGGCTGTGTTGCCAGCCTGCCAGGGACCCCAGCTCCCACCCGTCCCCTCCTGTGGGGCTGCGTCTCTGCACCCCACTGAGCTTCTCAAATTAGCATGGCCAGGTTTTCAAAGCTCACGTGTATCCTGATCATGATAGTGAGGTGAGCAGAAAGGAGTCCTTACCCCCATTTCACAAATGGGGTAACCACTGAGGCTCAGAGAAGGAGAGTGACCTGCCCAAGGTCACACAGCTAGAAGGAGGCAGAACCCGGGTTTTCGGGCACCCACCTGCTTCCCCCACTCACCACCAGGCAGGAGGTCCAACTGGCCCTGCCCCCCCCCTGCTTTCAGGGATGGGGGGCAGTGTCTGACCCTGGGAGACGAGGGTGTGGCTGGGCTGCCTGGGGTCCAGGAGCGGACCTGGCTGGACCAACCTCAGGGTCTTCCAACTGTCCCTTAGTGTCCCGTCCTCTCGTGCCCCCCCAGCTCTTGGGGCCAGTGGCGCCCTTTGTCTTCAGGGCAGTGGCCACTCACCCCTCTGGAGACTGGCTCCCGCTCTCCAGCCCCACGTGCTGATCTGAACACGTCCGCCTCCTGTCTGCCTGTCCACTAGCTTCACCAGGTGCCCTGGGAGCCACCTGCCTCCCTGCCTGGCACACTCTCCCCGCCCCTTCCCAGGTCTTCCCCGAACCCAGGCCTCTGTGGTGTCTCCGGGAGCTCCCAGTCAGCACCTCTCCGGTCCCAGGCTCCAAGGGGACACGACCACTCAGTGGGGCCCACACCCCGAGGGCCTGGCCCACGGCTGGCTTCCGCCCCATACCAACCTCCGGTCTGCGGTTGGCGCTGCCCTCCTCCGGGTAGCTGTGCGCCTGAAGGGGCAGGCCCGGCTCCACGGAGTCCTCCTGGGAGGGCGGCCGCCAGCCTCGCATCTGCAGCCCCGGACCTCTGAAGCCGTAGCCCCGGGCCGGGAAGGGTCGCTTCATGGAGTGGTCGGGGCCATCCTCCTCATCCTCCCCCTCCAGCCGCTTCTCGGCCGTCAGCTCTTTGGCCAGCTGGTCCATTTTGCTCCATCGCTTGGCATCCTCCCACTCCTCAGAGCGCCGCTCCTCCTGCTGCTCCCCGCTCTCCCCGCCCCGGAGGGCGCCTCGAGGGGGCCCTGCCATCGGGGGCCCTGCCATCGCCTCCGCCTCCGCCGCTGCCTCCTGCCGGGGCCGCTCCCGTTGCCCCTTCCCCTTGGGGGACTGAGCTTCCTCGGCCTCAGTCTTCCTGGCTCCATCCACAGCCAGAGCCTTGGACCAACCTGGAGCGGGTGGTGGACAAGAGCAGGAGATGAGGGGGGGTCACCACCTTCCCTGACCCCTGCCACTCCCTGGGGCCTCTCTGTAGCCACTACTGAGCCGCAGACCCCACACTCAGTGTCCAGCTCAGCGTCTCCACAAGATTCTACTCGGAGGGAAAAGCCATCTTAACACCATGTTTTGCCAGACCCTCTGAAAGCCCAGAGTGGTGGTTGGCCGGGGCCTACCTCTTCCTTTAGCCCCCTCATCCCAGACGCCCTTGACCTAGCTGCACAGGGAGGAGAGACCTTGACAAGGCCCACAGCAGGAGCCAGGGTCTTTCCAAAACCCTGGCTGAAGCTGACAACTGTCCCCAGAAAAGCCTGCTCCCACCTGTCATGCTGCCCCTCTGTTCCCAGAGCCTACCCACCCACCCTGCAAAGCCCCTCTGGCCTCCGGGTTGGGGGCAGGGGGAGGATCTATGTGCAGTAGTGGAGATGTGTGATTTTAGAGTCAGACAAACCCGGGTTGGAATCTCAGATTTTACTACAAATTGGCTGTGTGGCCTTGGGCATATTACTTAACCTCTCTGAGCCTTAGTTTCCCATCTGGAAAATGGAGATAATATCTACTTTCATGTGTGAAGGTGGACTGAGAGCGTGGACGAGGTCTCCCTCCCATCCGTCCCCCTCTCCTACAATGTGGTGAGGCCTCAGACATACATACCCTCACCCCTCTGGACCTCCTTGTAGCCGAGGCTCGGGTGGGGCTTAAATGCAGCAGTCGGGCCTTCTTCTTTAGAGATGACCTTCTCTCCAGCCTCTGCGTCCTTCTTCTCCTCCTCCTCCCCCTCTTCCTCCTCCGCCTCTCCTCTCCTTGCCTGCTGCCCTTGCTCTGAACCCTGCCCCTTCTCTCTGTCCGCCAAGCCCTGGGAGGGACCCTCACAGTCCTGCTCGGCCTGAGGGCCTGGGTGTTTCTGGCTAGGGAGGCTGGCTAGGGGGTGGGTGTTGGCAGCCTCCTCCTCCCCTGGGACCTGGTTGTCCTCCTCCTCCCTGGACCCCTGCCCAGGCTCTGGGGAGGCCAGGGGCCCGGTTCTATCCGTGTCGTGACCCTTCTTCTCCACCTCGTTAGAATCTCCCCTTTTCTCCGCGGCATCCTTGGAGGGCATCTCTTCTGTCTCTGCAGGAAGAACAGAGCAGAGTCAGGCCCCGAGGACCAGGCTGCACTCGGGGTCTCCCCAGAGCCCCACTTCAGATCTTGGTCATGGCATCTCTCTGATTCCAACGAGCCCAGCCCGAGACACCCGGCAGAATCAGGGTGCACTCTCCGTGTCTGGGTTTGACCTGAGCACGGATGGACTGTGTTTCTTCGTAATTCTGCCACTTAAAGAAGAAGGTGATTTTTTTAAAAAAGCTTGAAAATGACCCCAGAAGATAGAGTCCTGAACCGAAAATTAGGCCGTCAGGGGAGCTGTGATGTGCGACGGCCGAGAACGGCGTGAGAGGGCTCAGTTCCTCCATGTTCGTAGTTCTCATGAGAAGGTGTCTTCTGTGGCTGCCATGAAGACAGCCTTCCACCTAGTGAGACCCTCCCGTCGCTAGAATGGTTACTGTTGCACAAGCAGACCTGGTCCAGCCCATCTGACCAGGACTCCAGGGGAACGTGCTGCCGTCCATCCCCGCTCTGCGCTGACGCATGGCTGCTTCCCTTGTTGAAGCCTCCAGACACGCACACGCGCACATGCACACGCGCACACACGCACACTATACTACACTGCCCCCTACCGCAGCCCATGGCAGACGCCCACAGCCATCCAGACACGCGTTCCCATGGAGCCAGCCCGAGGAGTCCACGCCGTGCCCCAAGCAGCCTGGCCGATGGACTCCTGGGCCACCCAGCAGCTTCCCGAGGGAAGACCACTGAGAACTCGGCTCCCGAAAACCGGCCTGTTCACCCACCTTCCACTGCAAAGGGCAGGGCCTGCTGGGGTGGTTTGCGGATGTTTGCAGGTAGGAGGACGAGTCACGAGAGAATCACCTTGACCTACGCCACGATCTCTTTGACCTCTAAAAGCTCTCTGGTTTCAAGAAAGATGACCTGATTTTGGCCAGTGTGGCTCTGTTGGTTGGAGTGTTGTCCCATACACTGAAAGGTCATGGGTTCAATTTCGGATCAGGGCACATACCCAGGTTGTGGGTTCGATTTCCGGTCAGGGCACCAGGGTGTGTACGGGAGGCAACCGGTCGATATGACTGGTTTCTCTCTCCCCCACCTCCTTCCTCTTTCTAAAAAAAAAAAATCAATGAAAAACTTATCCTCAGATGAGGATTGAAAAAGAGAGAGACTGGCTGGTGTGGCTCAGGGGCTGAGCGTCGACCCAGGCACTAAGAGGTCGCAGGTTCGATTCCCGGTCAGGGCACATGCCCAGGTTGTGGGCCCGATCCCCAGTGGGGGGCATGTAGGAGGCCAGTCGATGTTCTCTCTCATTGATGTTTCTACCTCTCTCTCCCTCTCCCTTCCTCTCTCTCTGAAATCAATAAAGAGGAAAAAAAAATGTTTTTCAAAGAGAGAGAGATGATCCCGGTTCATTTAGTGTTTCGAACCTACTCCTCTGGGATCTGCCTGCAACTCGGCTCTGCTAAAGGTCCCACCTGATGCCAGGAGGCAGGTGCTCGGGCAGGGCCTGCTGCAGGGGCCACTGGGAAAGCCAGAGTCCAAGCTGCCCACCTGCCAGGCCAGCCACTTCCTGCTCTGGAGTGTCAGCCCTGTGGTGGGCAGATGGGGCGATGGAGGGCTTTGGAGGGGGACAGGCCCAGACGTGGACAAGGTACTTAACCTCTCTGGCCTCATTTGTAAGTGAAGGGCAGGACTGCTACCTCACAGGGCGCAGAGGAGGGGCTCTTCCCTCCTAGGGACACTCGATCTTACAGCCACCGTTGTTTTCTCTCCCTCCCTGGCCTCCGGCCGGACTGGCCAGCACTGACCCTTCAGCTCTGCCTGGTCATTCTGCTTCTCAAGAACCTCTGACAGTTCATCCTCAAAGCTGCTGTGTTTCTTCTGCTGATGTGCCCTCTCCTTGGCACCTGGTAGAAGAGAAGGAGACAAAGTCTCATTTGGTCTGAGCGGCACATTTGTCCGTGAAGGTGAAGGCCTCCATTCCTCCTATGTGCACCGAGCACAGCTTGTTCCCGACCTGCCCGGTGAGAGACGGAGGGGCGAGGGCTTGGGGATGGGGCCGGGGTTGGCTGCCCCTGTCCCCTCCTGGCTGGGGCCCATCCAGGTGGCCATACCACCTCCAGACTCAGCTCCTCACCTCGGAAATGAGAACAAGCCCTGCCTGCTACTTCACGGAGCAACAGAGACTCAGGTGGAGCAGAGGGTCCCGGGGGAAGGCAGGCGCCCCCCTCAGGACCTGGCTGGTAGTTAGGGGACCCTACAGCAGGAGGTAAGTGACTATTACCCTCATGGCTCTTGATTCGGGCAAATCCTGCTCAGCCTGGACCCCAGAAGTCCAAACCCTTGGGACAAAGCCAAGCAGGAGCCTGCGTCCAAGCTCAGGGTTGGCCCTTGCTCCCACAATCCAGAGACCCCTCTCCCTGCATCAGCCTGAGGCTGCCACCGCCTGGGGCTGTCCTGTCCTGTACCTGGCTCCTGATGGTGGCGCCTTGCCCAGGCCAGCTCTGCAGCTGGCAATGATTTTACCACCCATGATGGGAGTTTCTGGAATGGCCAGAGGAGCCCGACAGTGGCTGTGGGCACGGGAGTATGCCCAAAGGAAAGAGTCCTCTCCGCCGCCTCATCTCGAAAGTGCAACACTGAACTCGAGACAGCAGAGCTGCATCTGGTCTTGGCATGTCCCTAACTCACTGCGTGACCTTGGGCAAGACACTCAACCTCTCTGGGCCTCGATATCTTCAACTACATCAATGGCAGACTGGGCCAGGCGGCGTGGGGGCCCCGCTGTCCCACTAGTTGACAGGAAATCACTGCACATCAGACAGAAGCAGGACCTGCCGGACCTTCCACCCTGATGTCCTGACTCAGTCACTGGAATGACCCAGGTACAGGTGTGGTGGCTGCGAATACCTTGGAGAGCAAGGTCTTGGAGCTCTTTCAGCAAATTCTGATGTCGCAGGATTGAGAGAATCCGTTCATCTGCAATGAAGGACAGTGGTTACGGCCGCTGCCGGAGGACAGCGAGGAAGAGATGGCCACCAGCAGTTTCAGCCGAGCGCGGGCACTTTACTCTGGAAACTCCAACCTGGGCGGCGGCAGCAAGACTGGGTCTTGAGAGAACACTTTTGATATGACCGCCTTTCCAAGATGTCCATCGGTTTCCTTCTACTACAGAAAGGTCACCACGGTCCCAGTACCCAGACTTTGGCCAAGAGATGGCAGCCCTCGGGTGAGGTGGGGGTGTCTTCCAACACAACGTGTCCCCCAGCTCCGAGCCTTTGCTCCGCTGTCCTGGCCTCCTGGAGTTCCTACCCTTTCTTCATTTTTCTACCCATTGGTTTCCAACTTTTCTCTTAACCCCCCTCCTCGATGCTAACGTTGGCTCTGTCCAGCAGCGGGTCAACACTTGGCTGCCTGCTTGGCGGAGCCTTCCCCTTCTCTTGCCCCCCACTTGCTCCTTTGGCCATCACATGTCTAAGGTGCTACCAGGTGGCGGCAGCAGCTCCTGGCACTGAGGATTCGCACACAGAATCCTTGTCCACAGGGTGCTCACCTTCTGGCGGCTTGCTGTTCCAGCCCTGGCTTCGTTCTGCCCAGAATCCTAATTGTGTTCATAGTTGCCCCTCTGCTAGGCCATAAGCTCCAGGTGTACAGGGCCTGTAACTCCCTCATCTCCCTGTACCCCTCAGACCGCAGCACAGGCCTGGACAAGGCAGGCACTTGGTCAATGACAGTTGAAACAAGTCACTGAATTCCACCAGAAGCCACACACCCATGTCTGGCCGTCCAGCCCAGCAGGCGGCAGCCCCTCACCCCCAGCCTGGCCCGTACGTACCTCCTCGGAGTGTCTCAAAACACTCCTGGCTCACAGGCATGGGGCTGGGCTTGGAGAGTGTGTCAGAGATGACCTCAACGACGCACTTCATCACCTGGAAGGAGAGGGGGGCAGGCTGGGGGTGGCTGGGGCATGGGACTCAGCCCCTGAAGCCTCCAGGGCAAATTTCTAACAAGGACATAGGACATCTGCTCTTGTCTTCAGGAGTCCAAGGGTGCCTGGCTCAGGGGCACAGCTCTGCTTTCTCGACCAGACAGTAGCAGCAACGCTAAGAGAATACCCTTATATGGTACTTATCCTATGCCAGGAACTCCAATGACCTGGCCAGCAGGTGCCCCTCTAAAGTGGGGGTGGGTACCTGGTGACTTCTCATCCTCAGGGGTTTCTCTAAAGACGGGGAAGCTATCCGGGCCCATTTCACTCAGCAGTTAGAGCATCAGCCTGCAGACTGAAGGGTCGCGGGTTCAATTCTGGTCAAGGGCATGTACGTGGGTTGCAGGTTCGATCCCCAGCCTGGTCAGGGTCATGCAGGAAGCAACCAATTGATGTGTGTCTCTCACATCGCTCTCTCTCTCTTTGTCTCTCTCTCTCTCATTCCCTCCTTCTCTCTGTTCAACTCTCTCTAAAAATGAATGGAAAAATATCCCTGGGTGAGGGTTAACAAAAAATAGAATAAAATAGAAGATGGGGAAGCTGCTTCTGGGTATCGCACATATGTCTTGCAAAAGTACTTTGGTCTTATAGACGCCCAAAAGGTCAGCTGTCTCCAGGAAGCCTTTCTGGACCACCCAGAGGAGAGCAAAGACCTTCCCTGGCTCTACCCTGTCTGGAAACAGGACTCAGATCACTGTCTCCCGACATCCATGCAGTGGTCACATGCAGGGAGTGACAGCCTCACGGTCTGGCTCCTTAGTCACCCACGGGATGAATCCACTGGCTGGAGGTGGGCACACATCAGCCATATCTGGGTCTCATCCCAGGTCAACAGCAGCCATATCTCTGAAAGTCTTGTCCAGTGCCTAGCAAGGCGCTGCGGATAGCCAGGACCCTGGGAAATGGGTATTTGAAGATGGTGCCAACCTAGCTGTGTTGTCTTGGGATGTGACTTGACCTCTCTGAGCCTCAGTTTCCTCACTTGTGAAATCAGAGTGAGAAGAATCTCCCAACTCCTCTCCCAGGGTTACAGGTACAGATGGGAAAACACTATAAAGTGTGAAGTGCCACACACCCAGGGCGGGATACACAACCCGGACCCTGCTTCAGCTACCTAGAGCCAGGCGGAGGAGCGTGAGGTGTCAGACGTGCACCAGGCAACACTGGTAGGGAGTGAGGGGGCGGAAGGCTGTGTCTACGGGATGCCAAGGCAACCTGTCCAAGGATCCAGGATGGCAAACAGCTGTACAGTTGTCACAGCGTCGTAGGATGGAGTATTCAAGTCTTAAACAGCCCCCGATCCCAGGCTCCTGAGTACAATATGGTGACCTAAATATCTCCCAAAAGGGATCTGGCCAGGAGGGTCCTTCAGCCTGCGCCTTGCATCTCCCTGCAACCTCACACCTTGCGCTGGAATAACGATACCCAAGAGTCTACGAGGACAGATTCTGAGAGAGAACTGGGTACGGATCCCAAGAACAACGGGGAGATTGAGAAGGAAAGGTCTAGAAATAACAGGGCCCATTTACTGAGGACCAACTACGTACCAGGCACCTCACACATCTGATTCTTACTCCTCACAACTCCCCTTCAGGGAAATACTACAGATAGGAAAAGGGGAAGCTCACAGAAGTTAAGGGTTTTCCCCAGACTTCACAGCTACAAGTGGTAGAGGTTTAAATACAGGCCTGTCTGCAACTAAAGAAGAGGAAACACAGTTAAGCAAATTGATGCTTTGGATTTTAACCATAGTCTCTCTGGATGGAAGAAAACAGCTCCTGGAAAGGTGGGGAGCAGAAATTTATCTGCCTCTCAAGTGCAGGTATCTGTGAGCACCAGAGATTAGAAAACCAGCCCCAGCTGACATGAATGGATTTCAAGTTTACACCCCACATGGAGTGTATACTGTGCACTCTATACATGGAGTGTATTGCTGGCAACAGGAAACCCTCCCCCGCCCCCACCCAACCAGTGTCTCCTAAGTCCCTTTCCTGGGTGACATCCACCATCAGCCTAACTGGCCAGGACCCTGAGTGCAGAAGCCACGACCAAGAATGTTTTTGTCGTGGCCCTTTGGGAGAACCATGGCTTGAGTAACTGTGGGGTGAACTGTGTTGCTGGCAGAGCCTTGGGAGGTGGGGAGGGGGAAAGCAAAGGGAGAGGTGAAGACCTGGTTTTTGCATGTCTGTGGACAAACAACCACAGAACAGAGAAGCCACCCCCAGCAGCCCCTGGTGGGTCTGCCAGATTCAGAATGTTCAACACAGTGGGTCTGGAACTGCAGCCCAGCAGGCAAGACAGGCCCCACTGGGCTGCGCCTCGGCTCCGAGGAAGCTGGGGAAGTCCCCCAGCAGGATGGCAGGGCAGCCAGGCGGTCTTTGATATCTTCTTCTGCAAGCTGTCCCCAGGCTCAGCAGCCGCAGTGCTGGCTCTTGGCTTTATGCCAGACTCACTTCTGCAGCTGCCCAAGAACTGGCTGTAAGGTGTCCACTGGGACCTCCTCCCCCTCCCGGGGCATCCCGCATCCCTCCTTACCTCCGTGTCCCTTTTACTCATTGGGCTGTTCACAGGGAGGGCAAAGACTGGGAAGAAAAAGAGAGAGCTGGGGTCACTCTTCTGCTCTGAGGGGAGAGCCCAGTCCTTCCTGATGGGTTTAGCAGGGGCCCGTTCACCTCTGCACTCCCCCTCAAAACTGCCCCCACCCAAATGAGATGCTGGGGCTGATTTTCCCTTCCCTGGCTGCTGCCTCTGGGGGTGTCTCCCAGAGGCTGCACTGAAAGCTCAACCCTTCCCTTCGGGAGAGCTTCTGCTCTGGAGGGGGTGTGGGAGCTGAAGGGAAAGTGTGAAAACAAGGCCAGGGCTGGATGGGATTGGGGTGGCAGGAGAACGCAGGGAGAGGTGGGAGACCCCAGCGGTGCGGGGAAAGAGAAGGGGGTGGTGAGAGGTGAGACTGAGGTAAAAGTCAAGGGCAGGAAGACGAGGCGAGCGGGGGATGGAAGAGGGAGAGAGGTGAGGCCAGAGGGGGAGCCAGCAGCAGCCTTCCCATCTCCCCCAGTGACCTTGGCCACGGCACGGAGCCGGAGCTGGCCCTGCAGCGCGGACGCCCAGCCCAGACAGGGGGTCGGGGAAACAGGGCGCCCTGCCTGGCGGGGTCCAAGAGTCGTGCCCAAAGGGTCCTGTCTGCGGGTTCCGGGCCGAGGCCCCTTGGCGGGTCAGGCGGGAGGCGGCGGCGCTGTCCGCGGTGCTGAAAACTCGCCGCGCGGTAGGCAGGCACAAGGGGTGCGCGGCGCGGTGCGGGGCAGGCAGGGGCGCCCAGGGCCCTCCCCCGAGACGGCCCCTGCCAGTCCTAGCACAGCATGCAGTCCCCGCTCACCTTGCCCGGCGCAGAGCAGAAGTGCCAGGACCGCGGCGGGGCGCATGGCGAACCCGGGGCGCCGAGCAGCTTGGAGACCTGGGGCCGGGCACGGCGGGCACCCGGCGAGAGGTGGCTGCACAGGCGGGGCAGGGCAGGCTACCGCGGCGCTGGCGGGGGCCGGGGTCCAGCGTCTCCGCGTGTCCGTCGGTCGGTCCGCCCACCAGCCTCACTGCACAGAGCCCGGGTACTGCAGTAGCAGGAGCAGCGGCAGCCCTCGCGCGCTCCCGCTTATATAGCTCCCGAGCCAGGAAATGACGTCATCGGGCCGCCCCCTGCCCCCTTTCCCCACCCCTCTGGGGGTCCGGCTGCAGTTCACTCGACCCCCAGCCTCACCCCTCCTGCCTCTGGTCCCCGCCGCTCACGGCTCTTGAGTCGGGCTTCCAGGAAGTGGCACCGGGGACTCGGCTGCTTCCACCCTCGACGGCTCCACCGACTGGCCGTGTCCCGGGGCAAGGCACTGTGGGTCTCAGCCTCGAGCTCTGATGCGCGGGGGTCCCTGCCAATCCTGGCACAGCATGCATTCTTCCTTGCCCCTGGCAGACCTCACTGGCTCCGGTGTGCTCACCCTTCAGGGCTCCCTCAAATATCTAGGGGGCCCTAGAGAGGCTTCCCGACCCCTGTCTGAATAAGGCCTCTCGGGCAACTCAGGTTGGTGCCTTCGCGATTTGTAATTGTACAGGATATGTATGTATTTATTTATTTGAACAACGTTTAGTCTCCATTGCTTCCACAGCGCTGGCACAGAGTAAATGCACTTAATAGATCATTGTTGAATATACTGAGTGGAAGTACAACCCACGCAGGAATGAATCCTGGGCTCTGGCCATTGTTAGTTCTCATGGGGGATGGTGAAGGAGGAGTGGGGGATAGTTCTTGGTGTCAAACCAAAATAGGTGTCCTTGTAACTTCTACTCAGTAGCCCTAGTCAGCCCCTAAGGACCACCTTCTTGCCGCTGTAACCCATCATGTATTTGAGAACAGCGCTCAGCTCTTCTTGAGTGTACTCAAAACCTGAGGGTTCTGTGTGTAAGGTTGGTTCTCTGGCTTGTTTCCCTGTGCCCTGGGAATCTCATGCTCAGCCGCATTGCTACTCTCAACCTGGGACCACATCAGAAATCCTTTGCCACCTGACCGGAATGTCACAGTGAACCTGGTATCTGAGCTACCATTTGGCATTGGCTAGCATAGTCCAGAGCCCCTCCTTTCTGGGACCCCCCCCCATCTCCTGCTGCTGTTTCCCACCTCCTGCCGCACACCTGTGCCCACTCCACCCCTAGGAAAGAACCTGGCAAGAGCTCAGAGGAGATGAAATGATCTTGTTCATGCATTTCTTCGTTTCTTCAACTGTTTGTTAAGTACCTACTATGTGCTTAGAGCACCTTTCAGCTGTCTAGGTGCTGAGGATACAGCAGTGCACGAAACAGACAAAAGCCTGGACCTTATGGAGTTTACTGAAAACAGACAGTGAATAAGTAAAGAAGTAAAATGCACAGTATGTCAGGTGGGGACAAGTGCTGTGGACAAAAATGAAGCAGGGAAGAGGGGGTTCTGAGGAAGGGAGGGTGAGGAGGCCTCACCTAGGAGGGGACATTTCAGCAAAGACCTGAAGTTGGTGAAGAGAGGGGTTGTCCAGGGGAGAGGGCTCCAGGTAGAGAGAAGAGCCAGTGCAGGCACCCGAGGGAGGAATATACCTGGTGTGGTCAAGGAATAGTGAGGAGACAAAATGGGAAGGCCTGGAATATATAGCTGAACAGTAACACACAGCCCATCTCAAAAGCTTGGAAATGCACAGAAATACAGGAAAAGCACTTGTACTCACACCATCCAGAAATAAGCATCTGTAACTTTAAAGAATATATTCTACAGCCTTTGTTGAAGTGGCTGCCTTTGTAAAGGGTAGTTCCCGATGCAAGACTTCAGCTGAGCACTGAAGGGTTAAGTACCTGGGGCCCTTCGGATGTGGGTTATCTTGAATGTACTGAACAGAGTTGCATCATGCTTCCTCTCCAGCATCTTATCAGAAAGATTTATTCATGTCAGGAGATTACTGGTCCACCACAATTTATTGTGTGCCTCAATTTGTAACACACAGACACATTTCCTAGTTTTTTGTTCTTATAAAAGACAGTCTTAGACACAAACCTCTGTAGCATTTGCAATGATTGCATTTAGTAGTAGGTGAACTCCTTGGTCCAAGAAAATGGTCATTTTTAAGGGGCTTGATATGCACTGCCCGGCTGCCATGAAGGAAGTCGAACCACTTTCCACGGGGAGAGGGCTTTTCTCGGCCACTCCCAGAGCCGCCGCAACCTCCCAGAGCACCTGCTCTCCAGGACCTGACCCTGTTTGCCATGAAACTGAGCACAGTTAGCTAGCAGAAATGTCCCAAACCAGGCTTTACAAGTGACAATGCCACTAACTAGCATTTGCAGTGTGCTTCATAGCTTCAAAACAGTCCATCACTGACCCCTTACAGCACCCTGGGCCTAAATTAGAGAGGGGTTTGGAAACTGCAGAGACCCGGAATGTTGGAAGTGAGTACCCAAGGTGCCACCTGGCAAGTGAATGGGAAAGTTGGACCTAGGGCTTGTTTTGCCCAAATGCCCCATGTTTTCTGCCATCTCCTGACTTGTCACAGGCTGTTCCCTCTCCCTGGGAAGCCTCCCGTTACCATCCACTCCCTCCCCTATGGCCTGGCAAACTTTCACACCTTTTAAGACCTGAGCTAATTGCTTCCTTTTCTCTGCCTCCACAACACTTATTTGAGCATTTTTCCCAGGAAGTTGAAAATATTTGCCTTTAGGCCCTGGCCAGGTAAGTCAGTTGATTTGACTTACCTGGTTACGGGTTCGACCCCTGGTCAGGGCACACATAAGAAGCAACCAATGAATGCATAAATAAGTAGGGGGAAATTAGTGTTTCTCTCTCTCTCTCAAATAAATAAATAAATAAATAAAATATTTGCCTTTATCTCATTACACTTTGAGCTCCTTGGTAATTGGTCTGCATCCTGCCCCTCTTGGGGCTTTGGTTCCTGACATAGCGCTGGGCACGCGGTTGGCACAATGGGGAAATGAAAGAAGGAAGAAACTCACATCCCTTGATCCCACCTTTGGGCTCTGGGATGGGCCAGTTAGTTAAGGTTAAGCTTCTGGAACAAAAGACCCTAAAACACAGAGGGATAACATGAGTCTTATTTCTCTGTCACACAGCAAGGCTCACTCATGGGGTGGCTCTGCATGAGATCTCCATCTTTGAAACCAAGGCAGCTATTCGAGTGGTTACAGTTTATCAGTCATCACGTAGGGACAAAGGGTAGAGGGAGGCCAAGCAGCCCCTTTGTAAGGAGATGATGCAGAGCTTGCATGCATCACTTCCCCCACTGGCTAGAACTCCGGCACAGGGACACACGTAGTCGTAAGGGAGGCAGGACAGCCACAGGGGGTGGTTCTGATTACTAAAGGAAGAGGGGATTCTGGAGGACAGTGAACATTCTCTACTACACCGCCCATGGGGACGATGACTGTGAACCCAGCCCTGTTGTGATGTTCTGTGAAGATCAGCCCTATGAGAGCTACTGTCATTATACTTGTTTACAGGTGGAGTTCTGCAAGGGAATTAAGTCCAGGTGCCCTAAGGCATTCATCACATGTAATGAATTAATGTCTCTTGCATGCATCTAGAATGGCACTAATTATGCACCATCCTTGGGAGAATTGATAAAATTGTCTCTCAAATAACCTCTGTGTTATATGGTTCTGAGGAGGCATCCCGCATGGAGCTGTTGATGGGTACATTTCAAGGAGCCAGGCACTGGGTTTGATTCTTGTCTCTGTTTGGGTTCCCCAAAAGCAGACATCCAGACAAGGATTTGGGAGTGCAAAGAATTCATTTGGAAGTGATTCCAGGAAGCACAATAAGGAAATAGGAAGCGAGACAAGGAAAAGAGAAAGCCACTGGAGGGTGTGTTCATGAGTGAGCCACCGCTGAGGGCAGCAGAGACTCCGTCTAGCTGGGGCTCGTTGAGAAACTCCGTGGGCACACCTCAGAATTGTTCCACTGGGGCGAGGAAGCTGCGGACTTACTTCTGATTCCTTTCCCTCGTTGGGGTCTCCCCTGGAGGCACTGATTTACAGCACTCTGGTCAGCTCTGGGGAAGGGCCAAGCGGACTCCCACTGCAGAGAACACCCTCAGGCAGAGAACGCTGGGAGCTGTTGGTGTGTATGGGAGCTGTTTACAGGTGACCTGCAAGGTGGCCCAAGGGGGCATCGATGGGACAGGGACATGTGCTACCTGGCTCTATACATGTTATTTCATTTCATGTTTACAGTAAACCTGTGGCTACGTTATTAACGTCTCTATTTCTCATATGCAGAAGCTAAAGCTCAGAGAGATGGAGTAACTCTCCCAAGGCCACACAGCTGGGAAGTGGTGGAGTGTGGGGAGCAGCCGGCTAGCTCATGCCTCTCCACACTCCCCTTCCCGGCCCTAAGCCCTCTGTCAGCCTCGTGTTTCAACTGGTCCCCATCAGCACCCCCCACACAAAAAACTCCTGCCTTCAGGATTTGGGGGGGCTTCTGATTTTTGGAGAAAGGCAGTTATTTGTCCCATCTCGGGTGGCTACAGCGTGGACAAAGGCGGTCTTTAGTACTCGAAGTCTACACGTGCCGTCTCCAGCACAGCACGTCCTTGCTTGGACTGTGCAAGACTCCCGACAAGTCTCCAGCCTCCATTTCCTTTCAGGTTGCTGCCCCTGACCTCCTCTCGTCTTGAGGTTCTGGAGCTGCCCCTGGTTACGACGAGCACCCCTTATTGTTGCACATGGTCAGGTCCTTGCTTTTTTCCCCCAGACAGTTTTTCTTACTGTGAACCACTCCTACGGAAACGCAGAGGCCGGGAGAGAAAGCCGAGGTGCGGCTCACGGTGCATGAATTATGCAGTAGGAGGAATCAGAGAGGCGGTGGTCTGCTCTGAGCAGGGCCGCCGCCTCCCGGAGACTCCTGTCAGTGCCGGGACCAGCAGGTCTCAACCCGCTCACTGCTTCCCCAAGATCTGCTGCCAAATTTTGATCCATGCCCCAGATGTGTTTCGATTATCACCACATATGTGCACTGCCCTGGTTTTGTGCGTCAAATGAAGCATGGAGCTGGGCGGGGGGGTGCTGCAGCACAGCTCACTGAGAGG